CCCTCCCTTCGGCTATTTATATACATCTATAAGATCCCCTCTAAGCCTTCTCTTTTGCAGGCCAAACTGTCTCAGCTCTCTCAGCCTTTTCTCATAGGTGAGATGCTTCAGTCCCTTCATCATTCTTGGAGCTCTCTCCGGTATATCCATGTGTCTCTCGTACTGGGGAGCCCAGAGCTGGACCCGGTACTCCAGAGGTGGCCTCAGCAGTGCTGAGTGGAGGGGAAGGATCACATCCCTCCACCAGCTGTCCATGCTCTGCCTAAGGCAGACCAGGATAACTTTTGCCACCTTTGCAGCAAGGACATACTACTGGCTCGTATTTAACCCGGTGTCTGCCAGGACCCTTAGGTCATTTTCTTCCAGTCTACTTTCTAGCTGGGTGGCCCACAACATATACTGGTGCATGTGGTTGTTCTCACCCAGCTGCAGGACTTTGCATGTATAGAATCATAGAATGTTTTGTGTTGGAAGGGACCTTAAAGTTCATCTAGTTCTAACCTCTGCTGTAGGCAGGGACACCTCCCAGTAGACCAGGCTGCTCTCTGCCGTAGGCAGGGACACCTCCCACTAGACTCAAAGCCCCATCCAACCTGACCTTGAACCCCTCCAGGGAAGGTGCATCCACAGCTTCCCTGGGCAACCCCTTCCATTCTCTCACCACCTTCACAGTAAAGAATTTCTTCCTAATATGTAATCTAAATTTACCCTCTTTCACTTTGAAGCCATTACCCCTTGTCATGTCACTCTATGCCCTTGTAAAATGTTCCCCTCCAGCTTTCTTGTAGGCCTGCTTCAGGTATTGGAAATCTGCTATAAGGTCTCCCCAGGGTTTTCTCTTCTCCAGGCTGAACAACCCAAACTCTCTCAGTCATCATAGGAGAGATGCTCTAACTCTCTGATAATCTCCGTGGCCTCCTCTGGACTTTCTCCAACAGGTCTATGTCCTTCTGGTGGAGGATCATTTCCCTTTGTTGAATTTCATGAGGCTCCTGTCACCCCATTTCTCAAGCCTGTAAAGGTCCCTTTTATATCACCTTAGAGTACATAAAAACTGCAAATATTGGTACTTCTACAGCCTTTGTGTATGTGCATCTATGTTGTGTATGGAGCTGATATATTGGCTAGTGTGTAGAATCAAGGTCTGGCATTGGGCTGTCAAACCAGCAGCCACCACTACAGAGCAGGAACAGCAGTGGAAGGTATCACAGTTCACCGTCTGAGAGGCTCTAATTGCTGTTTCATTCTGGGAAGACTGCCATTGCTGTCATTGGCTTTATTGATAGTGTATGACTATGATCAGCATGACTGAATCAGCCCTTAGAGGAAATATGAATATGCATATGTTATACTGACTCGCCTGGAGGGGATGAAATACATTTTCTGGAAGTTGGCAACCTGGGTGACAGTCTGAGCTCTACTGGATATTTCTGTTTATTCAGGACTTCTCTTTTCTTCCTTGCCTGTCCCTTGGTCTGGTGGTTAAGCAGAAGCAATTAAGTGCCACAAACATTGCTAATAATCTACAACAAAATGAAATCAACATCTTCAAAGTCGAAGAAGAGGCCATAGACTGAAGTGTAGAAATTAATATTGGATGATGTGTCAAAAGCTATGTGTATTATGGCTGTGTGTTGCCTGTGTCAACATGAGTCACCTACTGCTCATTATTCGTTTGCATGAAGATTAAATCTGCTTGTCCAGTTGTATTATATGAGTGCAAGTGCACACAGAGCAAAAATAACCACAAGTTATAACCACCAAAAAATCTCTTTATTTTATATATCTGTATATTAGAATAAAGTCAGTAAGGGAAGAAAAATTACAAGAATAAAAAATGTACTGAGTTCTTCAGTATGCTATTTATCTAAGGAAATGAAGATTCCTATTTTAAACTAGGAATAAAGGCAATAGTGCTGATAGCTCTCATTAGCTATTGTTGCCCTAGAAAGATCATGTAACTGTTCTTTTCTTCCTGGATGTTCATTGTTTGTTTCTACAATAGAGATCTCCATCATGACTGTTCCATTTTCTCCTTATTTTTCATGACAAACGTTAAGAAAAACAACTTAATCCAGCCTCTTTTTGTACACAGTGCTTTAAAGCAACGAGCAAGGGTGCTTCTAGCACGAAGTCCATTAGTCCCCGTTCTGATTGGAAAACTGTGCGAGAGGGAATATTTTGCAGTATGTTCAGTCACCAAAGAGGTCACAGAAGTCTCTTGCTAAGATCACTGACTGTTGGTTTCCCTCTTCTCTTCCATCCCATACTCTGAAGCTGGGGGACACTTCTTTTCCATCGCTGTCTTTCGTAGCACCAATGTATCTGGCATCTCTTTGGCATCTCTTTGCTGCTTTGATCAGTGCTGTGACTGCATGTCCCAGTGACTCAGCCTGTCATCGAGTCCACTGTCACTTATTTCATCGTCTTCTCTGTGCTGTTTTTGACAGTAAGAAGTGATGCTACAAAGCAGCTGTTTGCTGTTATGAAGAAGACTAAGATGGTTATTTGAAGTTGTCATTATTTTATCCGGAGTTGTCTTTGCAGTGATATACAAGTGCATATAGCATATCCAGCACACACCAGATGTGACTGAACGCAATGAGCCTCTGTCCAGTGAACGTGTGGTTGGTCCAAAATCCCCAAGAAGTCCTAAACTCATTCACTATATGGCATGGGATTCATTTGTGCATGAACAACAGCCTCTTCTTCCAGATGCCTGCAGTGAGGCTCCTACTCTCTAATATTACCTCACTCACTGAATCAGATATTTCTCCTTTGAAGCACTGGGTGAAAGATCTGCATTATGTTATTAAAATAGATATATGAAAATACATTCAGTATGATCGGAAACTTGTTTCCATGTGGTTATTGGAACTAATGCTGTAAGGCATTTGGAAGAAAGAAAGTAGACCTTTGCTTTGGGGTATAAATTACTTATGAGTAGTAGAGTTTGGAATGAGGCATTCCCAGAAGTCAGATCTCTTTGCTGCTTTTGTTTCCGAGAAGTGGCTGATACTGGAGGAGACTTTGGACTAGAGAGATTCAGAGTTTGATTTTTATCCTCCTCTTGCTCAGATACTCACCATTTAAGAGTCTGGTGCGACAGCTCATAAACCCAGATTGCTGTTTCTCAAATAACTGCTTTGATGTGGGTGTTGTACAGGATTCCTGCACGGAAAGAGAGCTGACAGGCACATTTTATGACTCCTAATATTCGAAGTGGAGGGGCTACCCATCAAAATAGAGGTGGAAATGGATGGCATTTGTTACACTCAATCTTGCTCAATCATGATCTGTTCTCCAATAATTCTTGTGGACAAGAAACGTGAGACACATTTATCCTTCTGAAAAGAAGGTTTTAATGAGCAGGAAAGATGTAGTACAGGAGACAGAGGCATTGAGGCCTGATAAGGTAAAATACGTGGTTTGTGATGGTTCACAGCTCTGCCATGGTGTTGCCAGGTCATTTTCAGGAAGTCACGTACACACATTTTGCTTCTGTTCCTGTACCTGTAAAATGAAAATAACAAGAAAAGCAGAGGAAAAAGTTAGTGTGGATAGGTGGAGTCCTTAACCTTTAGCACAAGTTTCTGTAGTTGAGCCAAATGTTACCAATAATTTTATTTTATTTTTACCTTGCCACTCCAAAACAAAACAATGAAAAAGTGCAAATAGACAATAGCAATATGAAATTTTGTACGGATGTAGTGTCATCTGGAACATCTAGATGAACTGTTACTTGTTGCTTTCTATGTGGACTTTTCTCCTCTGTAGCAAAAAGCACCTTTTCAAAAATCTTTCTGCCTTTTTCAGGGGCTGTTGTCAACAACACTTTTAGAAACGTTCAGTCTGATGTTTTTATTTGACAACTTATTTTCTTGATGGCTGGGCGCTGAACTAGCACTGAATGACCATGGCAAAGGCCCAAAAAGAATTTGGGTAAAGAGCAGTGAGAACATCATGAAGAGTTCATTAGGAAGTTGTCTGTATGTGTCCTTTGGGGATCTTTCTGAATTTCCTGTTCTATTTTAATTTTCTTGTTTCTAAGACACAGTTCAAAATAAGCATGGAAAAAAATATTTCTTGGGATTGGATGTGCTTTTAATGGGTGGAGGAAGGTATTTTGTACAGGAAAACTGCATAGTTTTCTCTCTGGGTTCCTTGAGATGAGGAGCCAGAAATTGAGCTTCCCTCCTCACCCTCAATATTACTACATGCAGTTCTCAGAGCTCCTCAGGGTGACATTGTAATTGGACAGGAAATCTCTCTGCTTCAGTAAAGTAATTCACAATTTTCACTTACGTTCTGGCAGAACTGGCACCTTGGAAAAATATCAAAAGTGGTTTCTTTTTCACAGAGGATTGGTGATCACAGCCCAGCCCACGTGTGGGCATTTCTGAAATGTGGGCAGAGACGTTCTTGTGTGACCTCCCCAGCCCCAACCCCAGGCTTGGGAGATGTGGTTATCATCTTCCTCCTTCTTCAGGTTCTTTGCAGAAGTTTTATCAGTGATGTTGTTGCATACAAAGACTCTAGAGAATCAGTATCTCCAGGAATGTCTCTTCTAGTTTACAGTGGGATAAACGGGAGCCATAAGTTTCCCATATATATACCATTCTCCCAGATGGAGCATTGAAGACCTTAACCTTTCTGCCCATTTTAAAATACGATATTTAACTGGTTTTTAAAAGACTATACTGACATTAAGCTTTCTCTTGCAACATTCTTCTCATACCTTTGCTGTCTTCTGAACCCATATGCTGTAAGAAAACATTATCAATAATTATATTTAAATACTTGGGATCTCCAGATGTGTTTATCCTTTGTTTCTCTTCTTCTCTCCCTAACAGGCTGTTGTAGTCTTCACAGAGGTGGGATAAGTTGATTTGCCTTGTGAATATTCTGTTCTGTTAAGCTTTTCTGAAATCTGTGAAATTGCTAGGCTGTTTCAAGTCCAGCAAGAGTGTTCATCTCTCTTTTATTTTGGTCCATACCAGGAAATGCCTACAGAGAATGCCTGGGCAACGGGACATGGGCTTCCAAGATAAACTACTCTCAGTGCGAGCCTATTCTGGATGACAAGGTCTGTATTTTTGCCTTCATTCTTCTCAATGACATTTCTCATCATACGTGAATGCAAAACTAAGCTTAAGGTTAATATACTAATTTGGGACTTCTGAGACAGGTTCCATTTCTGTCTCTGCAACAAATCCTCCCTGTGAATTCAGGCAAATCACTTCACTTCTCTCCATATCCCCTACTCAGTCGGTTTTTAAAAAAGGATGCTTTATTACACGCTCTCCCTGATGATGTATGTTTGTGCAGATCCTTCCTAGCTTTGTTCAGAGCATACAGCTGCTACAGTAAATGTTAGTAATAATAACAGTAAGACCAAAAGCTTCTTTGGCACTGAAAAATAAGCTTTCACCACCTGATTCCACCCTGTACCTATCAGTTCTGAGGTCTCATCAACAACTGGCCTTTCCAAATCTCAACGCCAGTTTTCCTTCAGCAAATATATAAAGGGGCAGCAACAGAAAAATACATACAAAGCAGACTTGGGTCCCAGCTGTCTTTAAAAGATTGAGCCAGTCTTGCGTTATATAGGAGTTTACAGAATGAAATTAGCATATAGGGTTAAGCTCCTTCAGAAAGTCTGCCAGCAATTATGCAAAGTCCTTTTCTTGTCAAATGTCTCAGCTTTTCTTGGAGGCTCACAGACATTCATCCTCAGACAGCTTAAACCTCTGAGCCTTTCAGGCCATGTTCTCTTTCTCTTCCTCCTGTTTTAAGCGCTGTCGTAAGCACACACAGGCTTTGTGCTTTCTCTCTGCCAGGGGTGACTTCCCCCTCTAAGAACCAGGGTGGAGCCCAGAAGCTCAGGCCTGTTTATGTTTTGGGGTTCATTCCACTCGTGTCGTTGGAGTTGTGTGCCATGCCCGCTGGGAACAGAGGAGGAGGAAGACAAGGTCTCACCTGCTGAGGGCTGCTTGCAGAGCTAGTCCAGATTTAGTACTCGGGGATATCTGGTCTGGTGCTGTACCCAAAACAGTCATGATGTGCTTTGGCTGTGGCCCAGCATCCATCCTGTGAGATCCATGTTGTTGCTGAATGTGGGCTTTGACAAGTGAATCAGAAAACAGATAACTACCCAGCAGCTGCTGAGGAATGCCTACTCTTACCCACTGGGTAGGTAATTTAGCAGTTGTCCACCCCCCCTACCACCACCTCCATTTGCTGGAGGCTTCTAGAAAGCAAGAAATAAATGTACCAGAACACAGCGGGCACCCAGAAGGACTGGTAGACATTGAAGGTGGTCTAGCATAATAGAGAAGAAGCTACCATGGCAGTTTAAGCTGACCTAAGTTGGGACCACCCCAGTGCAGCCCCTTGTTACATTTCTTGCCCACTTAAAATGAAAAACTAATGTTTTCCTGGGTCATTTTTTTGATTAATCAATTCCCTAAACCACCTTATTGCGTTCTTGCAGGAGTGCTGGGGTCAGCACAGGGAAGGGGGAGCAAGAGCTTGGCTGGGGTTGGTGAGGACAGCAGACCATGGTAGCAGACCATCTCTGCCTGCAATGGATTTCCTCTTTCTTATGAAATCATCCTCTTAAAAATGAGCGAGGTGGAGAGTGTAGCAGCCAGCACTGAATTTAGAGAATGGGGAACAGAGCTGGGGGAAGACTCAGAGTCTTTGAAGTGGTTTAGCTGGTCCAGGAAAGCTGAGCTGACAGGAGCAGTCTGCTCTTCCAGAGCAGGAACGTGCTGCTGTGTTTTGATGACGCTCTTTATGCGTTTGTCTGCATGACTTGAACAGTTGCCATCTCTCTGCACAAGCAAACAGAGAGGAGTTTTATTTGAAGGGGCTGGAAAAGTGTTGTGACTAGAGGACAGGATTATTTCCTTTATACTGTTTTTTTGCTTTTAAAAACTTTGCAGCTATGGTGATAGCTTAAAACGTCTTAAATAGCATGTTCCTTAAACAGATGAAAGTGCAGATGTTCCCCCACCCTTGTTTGCAAAAGCTTAAAAACTCATTTATTAGATCTTTAAAGATTTTGCTACAAGCTTTGCAAATATTAATATTTGTGAATATTTTTGAAATCTCTACATAATGCTCAGTGTTACAGATGAATATTTGGGTTGCTTTGTGGTCTCAAAAAAAAATTGGGTCCTGGAATCAGCTGTTGTTAAGAATGTTAAAGCATAGCCCAAGATCTAACCACCACCCACCTTTCAGAAGTGAGAAGCAAGGGAACAGCTGTCTGGCCCAGGAGGGAGATGTACATGGGGTCCAGGTCTCAGTAGGGTTTGCAGTGAACAGGGCAACACACCACGTAGGTTCCTAGACAACCTCTCTAGGAGACAGCTGGGTATTGGCTGGAGAAGATTTAATAAGGGTTGATTCTTGGACCTCAGCGTTTAGGTGAAAAATAGGAGATGGAGAAAGAGATACAGACGACCAGAACTGTATACCTTGGATGGTCTTTTATACTCCTTTAGTCCAGCTAGCACTAGACCTGCTCAGTTTGTCTAAGGAAAGTTGTGTTCAGAAGTACCGTATACGTGAGTGAGCACAGAGGTGCTGGAAAGACTATAATCTTTATCAGTGTGCCTAACGGAGTTGGCCTTGGGCTAGAAAGCCACAGAAATGTTTTTCTAAACTGAAGAAGTCTGGAGGACTTGTAAACTTCTAAAAGGTTCTGTTCCTGCCTTTGCTTTTGACATGTTATATGACCTGGGTGAATCATTTGAGCTTTTTAGCGGATAGGAAATCGATGCAGAAAGTGAGCGTAATTAGACTTCTTGAGCTTCTCATAAAGTATTTTAGGACTTCTTGGCAAAGGAAAACATCAGAAAGCTGAGGAAAGTTTCTTGTGTGCTTGAAAGCCTGAAGAAACATCAGGTTGGTGAGCTAGACAGAGCGGAGGTCAGAAATGTTTTTTTAGGGGAACGTTTCTTGCCTAAAGTATTATTTATCTGTCTTCCAAGACTCCCCTATAAGTGCATTGCAATTCTATGTGAATGTCAGATCCAATCGTGACATCTAAGAAGACCTCTCTTTGCACAAAGCTTGGCTTGCAGGGTGATGTTGGCTGGTGTACAAAGTAATAAGCAGTGGTTGGATAACTGTTCTTCCCTCTTCTTATTTTTGTCTGAATATCGCTCATTCACAAATAAAATATGAGGAGAGATGTTTTTCTTTTCAGTCTCGTGGACGTCTGACTGCTGTTCCTTATGATTTCTAGAAATAGCAATCAGTGCTGGTGCATCGTGAATCCCACCTGGCTCCAGCTTGTCACGGCAACAATCAGAAGAAACCCACCAAAGAGGAAAGATGGCACACGAATAAATAATTTATAGCCCCACGATTCAGTCCCTATTTTTAGACACTTGCTGTTTTTTTGAGACTTTTGAAAAGGGCTAAGAATAGTATACACACGAAGTGACATATCCTTTATGCAGCCCAGGTTTCTTTTGTCTCATTTGATCTGAATCCTCTGAAATCTGAGCAACCAATCCAAGGAATTTATATTGTGCAGTTCCTGTTGGATTTATGTGGGATTACGATGGACTCTGCCTGTGGTAAATATGCAGCCAAACCAACCCTGAAAAGGAAGGCAAGTTAGCAACTTGGTCAGAGGGCAATACAGAGGCAAAAAGAGTTCAATAATTGTCGTAAAAGGAGGGGACGGGGAGGAAGTTATTTAAGATATCAGCAAAAAAATTCCCAGTGGAGAGGTTTAACAGACTGTCTGAAATAGTTTTACAAAGCAATTACTAGAAATTCTTGGGGTTTACGCTTTTTAATCTGGACTGAACAAATCCTGTTGGTGGGGAGATGGATGACATGACCCACTGTGCTCTGTCAGCTGTTTGCTGCATCTGTGATTCTCTGGGACTTGCCATAGTTACTGCTAACTCCACTTTCCAAAACTTTGTACTTTCTAGGGATTTTGTTCAGTGGGGGTTCTGATTTTCTGGTTGATAGACCATTCATTTCAGCTTGGCTGACAGCTAACATGGATCAGCAAGCTGTCAAAGCAGTCAAATACCCTTAGCTGTGCACAGCTCAGAACCTAACAGGCTGTGTTTTATTTATTTATTCATTTGCCTATTTATTCCCTTCACCCCAGAAGCGGATGAACTTGTCTGATGATTATAGGGCCACTCTGAATTCGTGGGATCCAGGATGAAAAGCATAAGTAGTCGGAGATAGCAGATTTCCATTTCAATGATGACTGGAAATGTAAACCTTGTCAGAAAGTCATGTGCATGAGGCACAGCAAGATGACTAAAATCTTTTACAAAACCAGCTTAGTTCCAGTTGTCAAAGACCAGATCCGTTACAGTGGTGCTTGCGTGTGTGCAGTGTCTGGAATTGTCTTTCACCCCCTAATGACTGGAAGGATGTGGTTAACTTCCCGCTGAGAATTACGTCCACTTACCTGGACCCTGTGCTCCCGTCTCTTGTTTATTTCATGCTTTTAATGGACTTTTACTGACTAAATACAAGCCTGCCACCAGGCCAATCTATACAGATTGAGTTACCACTACCTAAAAGGCTTTATGTTCTTCAACAGGGTCAATAAAATAAAATTTAAAAAATGCTACTCATCGAATATTCTTCTTTGCATATTCTGTTTGGAAATGCAACATCATCTGTTATTAGAAATGAAATTAAGGTCAATGTTATACGTCCCAAAATGATGTAAAACAGTGAACCTAAGCTGTGTTTTGAATTTGTTCCAGAGCATAATAACGTCCTGCTAATCAGGGAATCACAGGATGGTTGAGCTTGGAAGGGACCAACTACTGGATGTCATCTGGTCCAACCACCCTGCTCAAGCAGGGCCAGCTAGAGCTGGTTGCCCAGGACCATGTCCAGATGGATTTTAAATATCTCCAAAGAGGGAGATTCCACAAACTCCCTGGGCAACCTATTCCAATGTTCAGTTACCCTCATGGTACAAAAGTATTTCCTGATGTTCAGATTGAACCTCCTGTGTTGTAGTGCCTATGGCCTCTGGTCCTGTCACTGGCCACCACTGAAAAGAACCTGGGTCCATCTTCTTTG